TGCTATTGCCGCATGCTCAGGATTTCATACACTTACCATGTCACAAACAATACCCTGATGCAGCGAATGCAAAAGGAACTGGATATTATACATAGTGTGAAAGTGAGAAAAATACATAGAGGCATACCTTGGGCATACCTTGGGCATACCTTGGGCATGCGATGCGTGATGATAAATATCAATTTATCCAACTAATAGAGAACAACGGCATACGGTCGAATCGGCCTACAAATACGTAAACGTTTACGTACGCATGCGCATTTCTTATATTTTCTATTTTTTATACACGTAAAAGATTCTTTACGTCTACGTATACGTGCCAGGAGCGGCCGACTCGACCGTATGCCGTTGTTCTCTAATACTGCAGGGCAAAATAGATAGTGGAAGAGCTAAGGGACGCCGATGAATATTATGGCTGAAAGATATTAGACAGTAGATGGAAATAACGACCGTACATTTATTCTAGGCGATTGTCAATAGGATTATATGGACCAACATGATTGCCAACATCCATAGAGGATAGGCACTGAAAGAAGAAGAAGAACAGGTATGAACATTTCCATAATATGGTAACAACTTATTAAACTTCACCCCAAAGGCACCTAATAATTCATCACGGGTGAATTACTCAATCATAGATCTCACAGAAACGTGTAGATTTTCAAAATTAAAGGCAATGTTACTAATGTCAGCACAGGAAGATAATTTTATATTTCATTGTTGAGCTGTTTATCTGTGTTCCAACAGCGTATAAATGTCATAATGGGCGCCTTCTATTATAAATAAATTTGGTATATGAATTAATAGTTGATTGAAAATTACAATACTTAATTATTATAAATTGTGTGATTGAGTAATGATTTTTTTATTATCTTTTAAAGAATTTTGTTTGCAATTAACTCAAAAAATAAAACTAAATAGATCATTTCGAAATTCATCGTTTTCTAATATATTTTTATTTACGACCTTAGTTTTAGTTTTTACCTTTTTTTATATTTAATACAAAAATTAGTCCGCCACTGATATTAGTTTTGTTAAGTTTCGCACAGGTGCTACAAGGCGCTGAGGGCAAGGCTGATCGGTCTGAAAATAAGAATGAACCCGAACTGAGAGATGCTGCCCTTTGATGCACAGGCTCGGCTTTGCCCACATGCTTAACACTTTTTTGATATAAACAACAAACAACTAGAATTATGGAAAAAATCACCGGGGCAGATGCAGGAGAAAAAGTTCATAGTCGTACACTCGCTAAAACTTACGGCAGATTTGACAACTATAGATAGGAAAACTGTGGAAACTGTAATGGGTCTACTACATAATAGAGAATTGCAAGTTCAATACGCATTTAAGGCCGATGAGAGTAACAGGCCATGTGTAATTTTTTTTAATTGGTCTTTAGTTTCTGATGTCTTCTTTGCTGCTTTTCTTATGAATTAGAATTATGTTGGCGCTATTCCAGTCTTGTGGTTGGTCCAGTCTTGCAGTTTCCAGTCTTGCAGTTTTCTCCTTAGACAGATGGTGTATGTATTTGTTAGGATTTTCTAAGTTTTCCTACCAGCGTACTTATGTAAGTATTTCAGCTGTTATTTCGTCGTTCCCTGCTGCTTTTCCATCTTTCATATCTTAAAGCGCCTTTTCTACTTCTCCTACGAGAACTTCTGGGGTGTTGTTTTGTGGGAAGGGGCAGTCTTTCTTCTATATGTATGTTTTCTGGAGCTTTATAAATGTCACTGTAAAACCCTGTTACCAGGCTTATTATTTCGTTTTTATCTGTTATTCTGATGTTGTTGTGTGTTAATGCGATTAGCTGCTTCTTTACGATCATGAGGAATTTCTTAGCGTTTTTATAGCTTTTTCTGTTTTCGATAATTGCAGTTTGTACAAATTTTTCATTGTAGTTTTTGTTGTCTCACATAATTCTGTCTATTCTATTCTATGTATGTTGCTCTCGGTTTTCATTTCTCTTCTTTTCTTGAGAAGTGCTTTCGTCTCATCAGTCAATCTTTGTTACGCCACTGTGGGCGCCCGATTTCTTTTGCACAGTTTAGTAGTGTGTCCATAAGCTTTTGTGTGTTTGTTTCTTCCTCAGACAGCCGGCTGTCCAGCAGTGTTGTTATTTGTTTCCTGATCAATTTTAATCTTTCTAGTCGAATGTCAAGGACTATTTTGGTTCTGACGAGTCTGTGGTCACTTCCTGTTCGAAACGGGTTAAGAACGCTTACATCACATTTACTGTGTTTATATTGTTAGTTGAAATGAAGTCAATTTCATTCCTAGTAACCCCATTAGGAGCTTACCATGTCCATTTTCTATTTGTATTCTTCTCAAAGTATGTATTGGCAATGAACAGGTTCTGATGGTATGCATATTTCGTTCTCCAATTCCAAAGTTTCCGGGTTGTTATTCTTGTTCTTTTCGTTCTTTTGCCTTTGCATTGAAGTCCCCTATTAGCGAGGGGTGTCTCACTATTGGAATTACATGTACATTTTCTTGGCAGTCGCTGGCAGTCATTGGCAATCTTACGGCAGTCGCCTACAATAATTACATGGCAGTCATAGGCAGTCTTCTTCGCAGTCCTTGGCAGTCGCTTGCAAGTAAAGTGATATTTTGGCAGTACTTGTACATTTTTTACCAAAGTGAGACACCCCACGCCTATTAGATATTTGAAATGGCTTTTATTGGTGTCCAATGCTTGGTTGAATTAAATATCAAATAGTAACTATGTATCCTATAGTAAATATTTGTCTTGTTTGTCAATGAATCATATAATAATATGATTCTCTAGTTATCTTTAAAATATATCAAGTTTAAGTGTTACTTGATCAAGTAATGCTTAAACTAACGTTGTTGATCACAAGTCAAGTGGTTTTTCATAGGAATTAATATTTTTTACTATAAGAGTAGACAATAAAAGTAATACTGTAACTAATTTATTTTGCACAAGTCAGTATTAAAAGCAACATTGCAAGTATTAAAGGACCAAAGAGATGCCAGTACGGCGCTGCAAGATATTAAACGCTGGTTCATCGACTCAAAACTTGCTTCAGGGTTATTCGCCAATTATCCGGCTCTCTTACTTTTACCCAAACGGTCTACCTTTCCGCTAAATCGTCGACTTAAAATATTAATATTCCCCAAAAATATTTTTAAGTATGGACGGCGCTTTAAATATGTAATTGGATAACATTTTGACGAAATAATTTTATCTCCGGTGGATCTCATGCAAGTAATCAAGTAATAAAAACAGATGATATTTTGTGTTAGTTATATAAATATATATTTTTTTAGTTAGTAAAAATTTGTAATTTTGTTTGTTTCAAGAAAAGAAAAGAATCACGGAGAAATTTGTCTACAGAACGTGACAATTTATAAAGTACTTATTATCTTATGTAATGTTTTACTTAATCAAGACGCATTTCATTGTTCATCATTCTGAATTGCTTTGCAACATATTTTTACATTCGATAACAAGTTTTATATACGCAATATAATTGCTTCGTTTAATCGCACATTTTGTAGGTACATAACAGACATTACAAGTGGCCCATTTGAAGTGGATTATTTAAAAATGTTATTCAACGATTAATAAAAACAATATTTTTTTGTCGAAAATGTACCTAGATAACCTTATCTTAAAATAATGCACACAACACTGGAATTATACAATAAACAATAAACTTGAAATTGCCAAAAATAAGTAGTTTATATTTTATAAAATAACAACGGAGAAATTTTTGGTCAAGTTTAAAGTGTTATATTTTTTTTATTTTTAGCCCTATTTCCTTGATTTTTTTAGCAAACTGTATATAAATATATTAACTTTAATTTGCAAACTCAGTTTATTATAAACTTTAGTATTTCACTTATTATATAGGATTAATCGAAGAGTTGTTTTTTACACTATCTTTAAAACATGCCGTGCAATAATTTCGTGAGCAAATTTTCCTAAAACGTTATTTTTCGGACAGAACCATGTCTTTTGAATATTTTGTTTTTTGACTCATGTCAACAAATGCCTTGGTTAATTTTTAAGAGCAAAATGAAATTACAAACATTTTACAATTTCTTCAATTCTTGTTACTTTTTGAAGTTATTCTTAATGATAAAGAGGTGACTCTGGTGATTATTGTTGTGTACGATTGAATACGGTTCTTAGTGTCGAAGATTGTGCAAATGTCATTGATCTTATTAAATATGGCCGAAATGATGAATATTCGCTTGGCCCTTGAAAAAGAATGGGAAAACTTAACACAATATATTTGCAGTCTCATTAACATTATGAACCGACGCGACGTCTACAGATTGTTATAGCAGCCGGTGGAGGCAATACAAAATATTAGACTATTTTTTAGAAGTTTTTTGTTTGTTTGTACACTTAGTAATTACAGTTTTTTTTTAAATATCCTTAGTTATTTTAGTGTTACTAATATTTAATAAAACCAAATGTAAAAAAAATATTTATTAAAAACAAAATGCCCAGGAGACATGGTTTTAATGAAAAATAATGTTTTAAGAAAAGGGATTCACGAAATTATTGCCCAGGGTGTTTTAAAATTAAGGTAAAAAACAACTCTTCAATTAACTCTCTATAATAAGCCAAATACTAAAGTTTGGTTATAAAAAACTGAGTTTATGAATTAAAGTTGATAGATTTATATATAGTTTGCTAAAAAATTATGAAAATAGGGCTAAAAGTAAAAACACTCAGTATATATACTTTTAGGTTGGTTCTTGGTCAGTTCATAACTTTGGTATGTGTTTAAGAACCGACCTAAAAGTATTGATTTATTTTGAACGTATACAAGCAAAATATAAACAAACTGTGTTTTGAGAGTTTCATAAGACCATGCAATACCAACACTCAAACTACTATTCTTTTCGAAACTGAAATTGAAATTTATGTTTATAAAAACATTAAAGATATTCAAATTTGTATGTTAATGACCATTAGGAAGAGTAAATCATTGAAATATTCTTAATAAATAAAACAGCATACATAATATTTTTCTTAATTAGCTTTATTAAAATTTTATATAAAAATATCTTTTATAAAAAAATATATCTATATATATTTATTGTTGAAGGCAGGCAGAGAAGTCATCTACAAGTGTGGCAGCCTTTGCTACAACTTCAGGTACAACGTCGTTAGCACAGTTTTCTAATTTTTCTTCCAAAACTTCAAAATCGCTTTTGATTTTGGCGACATCGTTTTCAATGGAGGATGGGACTTTCGAAACGATGGTGATTAAATCGTTAACAACATTGTTGATACAAGTTATGGGGATGAGCTCATTTTTACACAGATCCAAAGCGTCTTTTTCTGCAGCCAGTTGTTCGTCAGCTTCTTTAATAGCTTCCAGAATTGGTAAAATGTCGCTGACGACTGCTTTTACAGCTCCGTCGGTACAAGCAGTTGATGCGTTGAGAGCATAAACTTCCAGAGCTTCAACATCACCTTCTACACCTTCGACACATTCCAAAACTTCTTTGGCGACACCGTCTGTGTTGTTCTTGAAGTCGTCAATGAGTTTACGGATTTCAGCTAGTTCCTTGTCGACTACTTCTTTGGCATATGCGTCTCCGCCTTCTTTGATTTTGTCCAGTTCGTCGATGATAGTATTAAGTTCGTTTTCGGCCAAGTCCAAAACGTCTCTGGTGATATTGGTTACTACTCCGAGGATGTTTTCAGCCACGTTAATTGCGTCATCGAAGGCACCGTTTACTTTTTGAGCCCTGGCATCAGATGCCTAAATAAAAATATCGGTTTAAAAATTTTAAGTTTATTTTTTTAATGTCGATTTTAAATTTAAATGTTGGTTTGATACTTAATACAACTTTAGTTTTCTCCGTAATCTATTAGGAATAAAACCATTTATTTTTAGTTAGATACAGAAATTAATCATAATGCGATAGACAACCATAATAATCATCTGAATTGAACATAATGTAAAAATAATTAAAAGTTGATGAAATTGTAAATAAATAATATGTTTATTGGTTTCAAGTTAAACATGTAGTTGAGAAAATGTTATACAATTTATATATTTTTTTTTCAAATTTTTAACAAATTTATATAGAACTATTAAAAAGAAAGGGCATATGTAATATTTGTAATATATAGGCTGTCTCAATTAAAAAATATACCTACAGTATGTCCCTTCTTTACAAGAGGAAAATCTTTTTTATTATTGACATTTTGAGAAAAATGCACTCTTCATAAAATATTTTGCTAGTTCTAAAATGCTTAATAACGTTTATAGTTTTCCAAATTTTCATACCGCTTTAAAGAAAATTTAAAAAAAAACATGAAAATATAGTTGAATTTGTTCCTATAACGCTTGATTCAGAACCTCGCAATTAGTGGAATAAATAATTAGTGGTTTCTATTACACTTTATACTTTTTAGTTTACGATCATTCACAATGTTTAAAAAATACAATTAAAATTAATACAATATCCTAGCAAGTCTAGCTACAGCCTGCGTTGGTCAGTTGTATCCATAGATAAAGCCTAATATTTAGCTTATAAAACAATCAACTTTTGATTTCTAGCCACAATTTCTCTTGACGGAAGATAATCAAAAGCCAAAACGACATTTCTCTTTTGACTCGCAAATTTTGAAGTATAATAATTAGTGAAAAAGTTAAAAGTTTGATAACTTTTTCTACTAACTGAAAATGTCTACCACTAATTTTGACGTTCTGAATGCTTATGCATTGAAATTAAAAGGACAAACTTCTACGCTAATTGAAACCACTAATTTATTGCACTAACTGCGATGTTCTGAATGAAGCTTTAAGCTTGATTTTCATGCATACGTTATACGTTGATACGATGGTCCGACGGTGCTCTGATTGGTCATAGCGTTTTCGCGCCACTTTTCATCTGGAAATATTTTACTTCAGCCGGTCAACGGATCCGTTCATACGATAACACTTATTTGACAATTTTTTTTGACACTTTTTTGACAAATTTAATCTAACCCATAGACTAATGTCACGTACTAGAGATAGATTGGACACTGATATAAAATAAATAGGTCCTTCATTTAGAGCCACCTGGTGATCCGGAAGAAACTAATGGAGAGTTTTGGCATGACATAATTTTAGCGTACCGTTATTTATTAACGCTAACTAAAACGGTAACGTTATTCAAGAGCAAAATTATTCCTTGTAAAATATAAAATAATAAATATAGACTTGTTTACTACATCTTATGTTTTATTAGATCATTAGAAGTGTAACATATTCAAAACCAAAAATTAAATTATGAATATATATATTTTATACACCAAGAATAGAGCACATAGCGCCTATTTCTTTTTGGTTTAACAAATAAATTATAATATAGTAAAATATTACTTACGACTACTAATTAACTGTTAGTAAAAATACTATATTACCAACTATGTACTTACTTATTTATGATAAAATATATTTTTATTTCGTTCATAAATGTATTATTTCTAAGATGTTTAAAATGTCTTTAATAAAAAAGTTTAGCATCTAACACGAAAATGATGATCAACAGTAAATGTCAAAATGCACATAATATTAAAAACACAAACTATAAACACAAATCACCGAACTTTCCGACAAATCAGGAATATCTAAATTAATAATTATTTAAAAATGATTTAAAAATAATTTGACGGATCACCAACATTTTGACAACTAGACCAAAATTAGACCATAGATGGTAGTAAATATAGAAGCTGTCATGTCATCTTTGTATATAATTAGAAACCTGTACTTTAATGTCTTTTGCGCCGTCTGGCGATGCGGAAGAAACTAAATTTGTAGTCCCATAAAATTACTATTGAGTGTCTAGGGCCTGATCTAACCTTAATAAAAATATAAGTAAAATAGCAAAATCGTTATGGAAACGAAAATATAAAATGACACCAACGTATATCCGATAAACGGAGGCATGAAAATGCAATAAATTTAAAAACTGCGGAATTTTCTAACCAATTCTACCAACAAAATTAATATCGTATCAACGTATCCTCGGACAACGGATGCATGAAAATCAAGCTTTAGTCCTATAAAAATCAAAACGCGTTTCTATGGAAATATAGTTTTGATTCTATTCTTTATGTTATTGATAGAATTTTAATTACTCATGTTTTTGCTGGTTTAAAAATGTTAAAGAAGCACAACATTTATTTAGTTCGATGCTATGGTGGTGGTAATAAAATTATCGGAAAATGTGATACTGTAATAACAGCAAAAAATATGACGTTAATCAAAATTAATAATAACCATCTATCAAAAAATTAAATCGAAATAATATTACCATAAAAACGCTTTTTGATCTTTAGGACCTTGTAGAAATAGTTTAATAATACATGTTTTCTTTTTAATTTTCTCTAAAACGGTATGGAAATTTGGAAAAGTATAAACGGCATTAACCGTTTTAGAACAAGCAAAAATTTTTATGAAGAATACATTTTTCTTAAAATGTCAATAATAAAAAAGTTTTTTTTTCTTCTTGTAAAGACAATCCGGGGACATACGAGTACTGTATAGCTTTTACGTTTATGCCATTTTTGGTAATACATATTTTTTTAAAAGTTGGCTAAAAACCCTATAATTTGTTTTTAATGTATATTCTGGGAATAGAATAGAAGAGTAAAGCAGAAAAAGAGTAAAACATAAATCCTTTTAAAAGTGAGATAAAGCAAAATTCTAACAAGATAGTTTGTGACTTAAAAATTTGTGCTTTAATGCGATATAATCAAATAAGTTTGTTTTATCTACACCATTCACCAACGTTTTACAAATTAAAGTTATATACAAAATATATGTCCTAAAATATTTTATTGAATTAGAGTTAAATAGTGTTAGGTATTATAATGTATATTGTTATATTAAAAGTATTAAAACAGTGTAAATAATGTGTAAATGTGATAATAAAAACAATGTAAAAAGTGTAATTATATATATATATTATATATATATATATATATATATATATATATATATATATATATATATATATATATATATATATATATATATATATATATATATATATATATATATTTATATATGTAAAATTATTTACCTGGAAAGTTAAGAAAACTACGAAGAGAGCAGCTACGACTTTAGATGCCATTTTGTTGGGTTTGATGTATTTCTGTTAATGTTTTAAATTTTAAAATTCGGCTTTTTATATTAAAAATTATCTAAATCTCAAGTGTCGATAAAAAATATTGGAAATTAACTGGTGTATTAAAGAGAGTAACAATTTACATATGCAATTTATTTTTAGAAATAGATATTATTTTTGATTGGTAAACAAAATATAGAACTTTGTTCCAAGATTAACCTTTAGAATTTTGCTGAGAAACAAAAACACACTTCACTTTTACCCCAAATCCATAGTAACAGCATACCTACATTTGAAAAAAAAATGATATATTTACTTTATTTTGGACAAGTAGATGTAGAAAACTGTAATAATTTACCATTTACATCGTTTCATCGGATACAAAGTGAAAACTTTCCAGAACTTGTTCCTGAGGATCTGACTACCTATCAAAAATATTTATGGGACATAATATGTCAAGCTATTACCTCTGGTGTTTGTACGGAGAACCTAATACAGAGAAACCCGGACAAATTATCTCATTCCCGTTGGTTAACAGCCGCAAATAGAATACTAAGACTTTATATTTCCTCTAATAAAGTATCAAAGAACCTTCAAATATTAAATGAATATGTAGTTAAGGTTTACGCACCTTTATGATTCCATATCAAGTTTAAGCGGTCATGTAAGGTTCTCGTACGGTCATGTACAGTCCTCGTCATTTAATAAATATGATTAGATGGTCTAGAAATTTTGAAGAAGACGTTCTAAGATTTATTAATCCGGTCATTCAGTGGAATTGTTTTTATGTCCATCCAAAAAGTTTTTTATTAACTATGGTAACTGATGAATCCCAATCTATAAAAGATGTGTTAGATTTGTTACCGAAGCTTCTATGGCAGTCTGTGAGGAGGACAACAGGGATGTATTTCTTAAATCAAGATAGACTGAAGACAACAAATATCGAATTTCATTACAGAATGTGAGCATTCACCAGACACTCCATAATATTTACAAGATTAATTAGGGGGCAGAAGGAGGTGAGAGATGATGGAGGTGGTGGTGGAGGGAGTTGTTGATGAAAAGCAGACAGAGTTCTGGATTGTCTTTTTTGGTTAAAATAATAAACTACAAGCAAAGAGCTGCTATTTTTGTATAAAAAAGGTACCTATATGCGAATTTCAATATCCTTCAGGGGAACGTCTAAATGAAAACTCAGGGATCGAGATTGAACCAAAAATTGGAAACCCTGTACAAATCATAGCTAACATACAAGATTGCATATGGGCCCGGAAGAAGAACAACTATTCTTATTTTATTATTTTGTCAATTTTTGCCTACCCTGTTTCGATTTGCACTGCACGCCATTGTTATCACCGAAGATACGCATGTATATCAGAGATGTCTCTGCAAATTACTAAATTTAGTCAAATCGATCAGGAAATGGTTCTAATTCAGCTCGCAAGATATGTCCCACACTAACACAAGTTAAATAAAGCCTGTAAAATATAAGTATTTTTATTGGTTAGATTTCTGTTTGTGTGGCAAAATACCTAAACGTTTTTAAAGAAATAAACCCGCCAACAAAATGATATGCGGTCTTTATCAATTTTTACTTGCGTTAAGTAGAAATTCTTACACCTGTATTTGAAAATAGACAATAGGTAGCTTTAATTTATTTTCGTGCGTATTTATCAATTCTCACCAACACGTGTCCTTACGTTTTAGTCTTGTGCCAGGTGACACCTGAAATATAAAGTGGTGTTTTCTTTATTTCTGTTTAACTGATTAAATTCTGAGATGCGAGAAAGTGATAAGCAGAGATGAACAAGATACTGTAAATACTTCCGTTCTCTATTTTTATATAATTTATAATTATTAAATAATAATATTGATACACTCACATCGAAGGTCAATTGAGAAGACAAGAATATGTACATATAAAATCAGGCATAGATAAAAATTCTTAATATAAAAAAACAATTATATTTTACTAACTAAATAACTTTATTTTAATATTCATATCTAGGGGCACGCCTTGGCAGTGCCTCCTGTATCATCCTTTTCTCGAAGCATGCTTTGTGAAATTTGGCATTTTTTACATTCATGTTTTTGAAGGGATAAATATAGAGTCCGGTAATAGTGCGTCGGGCATCTGTACCTCCTAGAATAATAAACTTGGAAATTTCGTTTAAGTGCGAACCTAAAGTATGTACTAATATGTATTTCAGGAAAATATTTAAACTTTTACAGGCTGGCTCAAAAAAGTGTGAGTGGACCGTGCTGATTTTTTTAAATGGAACACCCCGTATATTGTTGCCATTTTTGACTTTCTTTCAGATCACTTTACGTAATTCTAAGATATGGGTAAATGTGTTTCGATAGTTTCAGAGATATTAATAAATAAATAAAAAATATATATTTTTCAACCTTTTTTAAAAAAAATTAAATATGCAAAAACAGTCTTTATTAGGTATTTATTTCAGAGGGTCTGTAGGTACTTACTTTGCTATAAATATCGTAATCTTAAATTGTGAAATAAAAAAGCGTGAGTGGATCGGGATGATTTTTTTTATATGGAACACCCTATACATATATTATTGCATTTTTGGCTTCCTTTCATATCACTATACATAATCCTAAGATATGAATCAATATATTTGGATAGTTTCGGAGATATTAATAAATAAATAAAAAATATATATTTTACAACCTTTCTTAAAAAAAATATTAAAAATACAAGAACAGTCCTGAAATCAAAACTATATTAGGTATTTACTTTAAATGGTCTGTACTTATTGCTATAAATATGGTAATCGTAAATCATACAGAATGTTCAAAATTGTTCGCCAAACTTTCTAAAATATAAAATTATTTTTCTTAGGTTTTTATTAAATGGAACACCCTATATATTTTTTTTGCAGTAGATGCAGAACTAAAAAATGAACATTTTTTATAATTGGAGTATTTCAAAATTTTTAACTGGTTTGCAGATATTCACGGTTTTATATTTTATAAATATGGTATTTTCCACGGTAAATTTTTATCAAAACCACCTAATGATTATTCTCTCGTATTTTACCGTTGAAAAAGAGTCATATGAAATAATACTGCGTGTATTTGCGAAACCATTAAACATTTTGAAATACGTTAAAAACAAAAAATGTTCCTTTTTTAACTAATAAAAAATATAATACAGGGTGTACCATTTAAAAAAACAAAGGACAATTATTTTATATTTTAGAAAGTGTGGCGGAGAATTTTGAACACCCTGTATGATTTAATATTACGATATTTATAGCAAAGTAAGTATAGACCATCTAAAGTAAATACTTAATAGAGTTTTGATTTCAGGACAGATCTTGTATTTGTAATATTTGGAAGTTTGAAAATAAAATACTTTTTATTTATTTATTAATATCTCTGAAATTATGGAGATACTAGCGTGTACCCGCGACTTCGTTCACGTCGAATTAATCATTTCTAATGGTGATGATAAAGCAAAGAATTTCCATTAAAATACAAACCGGATAAAATTTTCTCACATTTATGTCAGCATGAAAAAAAACAATCGAGAAACCCCCTCTTATCGAACCTCTACACTCCACAGTCACTCCGTTTCACAACAATCAGCTTTAAACGTCAAGCAGTTTACGCAGAATCGTGATTACTCAATGGTCATATTTGATGAAGCACCCTGTATACATTTTTAAAAAATCTTAAAATATGTAAAACAACAAAATAAAATATACGTGTTTAAGAGTTTTTCCGAAAAACTCACCGGTTTTTAAATAAAAAATATTCTAATATTTGAGGGGTGGTTTCACTCCTTTAGAATTCGAGTTTCGAAAAATCCCTTCTTATCGAACCTCTACACCCTAAAGTCAATCTGTTTTCCCAAAATCAGCTTTTTACGTCAAGCACTTTAAGCAGGATCGTGATTAATCAATGACCAGATTTTTTGAAACACCCTGTATACATTTTTGCCCCATCATATTTGTCCCCTACATCGCGGATTTTTGTAGAGTAGAGCATAACATTTCCTAAAAAATTGGCGCCGGGAGGCACGTATAGCCGCCCATACTAAAATATGTTAATATTCAATTATCTCAAAAACTGCGACTTTGACTGATTTTGATGTTATTACAAATTTTGTTGCAAATATTATTCCTAATGATAAATTGAAAACCGCGTTTCGCTAGCTACTGTAATTTTAGAGTTACAATTTTTTAAAATTTTTAACCCCGTCCCATACCCCCTTACGAACCCTCCACCCCCACCAAAAACTAATAGCCAGATCTCGGGTGTCACAGTATTTTTGTGCGAAATTTAGTTAAAATCGGTATAGCGGTTTTTGAGTTATCGTGTTACAGACGGACAGACAGACAGACAGACACCATGAAAATATTTTGTATTTAGGTCTGAGTAAATTATTGAGTAAAATAAGGTAATGGTTTAAGTATAATATTTTTAAAATTAATAATTCAAGAGTTATCAACAGAAAAATTGATTCTTTATTTGGGACACCCTCTATATTTTTAATTAACTGAAAATAATTTAAAATTACCTTTCCAAAAATATAGCACACTTGATATTTTGTTATAATCCCCTTCGAAATACAGAATTTTTAAAAGTTCGCCACTTTTAACTAGTAGGCTTTGGACCCCTTATTGATGATATGCCCTTAATGGAACTCGAAAACATATTTTTCAGCAAGACGACGCACCGCCTCTGAACGCTGAAGTTATCAGCAAATTTTTGCAGCGAATTTCAAGAACAATTGAATAGCTAACCAAGATCCCAGCCGATGGCCGTCGAGGCCGCCTGACTTAGTGCCCATGAATCTAAACCTATGGATATATTTGCGGAAGAATAAAGGTTCCTTATTCTTCCGTATAATCTAGACAAGAATTAGAAATACTTAGCAGTTATGAGAAGGTATCTTTCACCCCCACTGAAATGAATTCAGCGAGAAATGTTGAAAAACTGCCCCGTCTGTCCATTACAGAAGACGGTCGATATGTCGAACATCTGTATGTAGCAAAATATCATGTCTTGGTTTGCTATTTATTTTTATTGAATATGATGTTGGTTACATATATTTTAAATTGTTATAAAATTCTGCATCTCTCATAGCAAATATTATTTTCGTTTTAATTGATGCTCACAGCTAGATTTTTTTTGCATTACAGCCGGTGCCGTTCAAAGCCTACTTATTTAAAGCGGGCGAATTTTTATATACTCTATATCTCGAAGAGGAATGGAGCAAAATATCAAGTGTGTTGTATTTTTGAAAAGGTAATTTTAAATTCTTTTCAATAAATTAAAATTATACAGGGTGTCCCATATAAAAAATCAAATTTTCTGTTGATAATTCTTAAATTATTAATTTTAAAAAAATTACACTTAAACCATTAAATTCTACGTAAAAAGATGCTTTGGAAATGTTTTCATAAAAATACAAAATTTTCCATAGCAAAAAAGTTACAGCGATTTGTTAAAAATGCATATTTTTGAAAAACACCCCGTAACTCCGAAACGGTAACAGATATCGATATGTGGTTTTCACCATCATGTTTTTGACAAAAATTGAGCTCCAGACACCGATATTAATTTTTGTCTATCTCCTATAGAAAAGGATGTTTCCATTTAAAAGCGTCGAATTTGACCCACCCTGTACTTACTCATTATAACAAGTTCATGCTATTTAATTAAGATTTTTATATGATTAAAAAAATGAAACTAAAACTTTTTTTTGTTTTAAAATAGTATCAAGTATTTACACAGAAAAATAGATCATCCGTCAAAGCAACGCGTGTAAGATAATGTGTGATTTGTACATAACGAAAAGAATATATTCTTCTATGACGAATATGATATTTACTATATTCATTAAAGAAGAGATTTGTTTATTTTAAAAATATACCTTTATTTGAAATAGTCTTTGCTTCCGTTTATGGAAATGTTATTATAATTTTATGAAAATTCTTGTTACTGATTTAGTTTTAGTTGGCTGAAATTAACGTACTGGCTCAAATTTTAATATGCTCAAATTAAAAACAAAATACTATTAAAAATTAATTATGACTTGATTAATCGAAGGACTGTGATGTTATTAACATAACACTGCAACATATTTTATTGCTAAAAAAGTGTCGACTTCAGGTTCACCAGGGGCGTGCATATTAGTTATCGCCTACTTTTCTATAAAAAATGTCCGCCACTGACTTTTTTTTTCTTGTTAGTAAAATTGTGTAGGTCATTTATTGGCGAATAAAAGTTGTATCTTGATATTTTGTCGATTTCGCTTTCCTTTATAAAATAAACGCATTTTTACTAATTAAAAATAATAAAATTAAAATTAAAATGAAATTAATAAATTATTTATTTAATCTAATTATTTATTTAATCTAATTTATCAGTGCTACCTACGGCAAATTCAAGAATAAAAGAATGGTATTTAAAATAATTACAAAACATCTATTTTTTAAAACTTCCATTATCCTGTAACTTTAATCCTATGCATTTCTGCAACTTTTATAGGAACTTTTTTTCATATTTTTTGATGAGGAATCAGTGAGTACTTATTAACACTTAATTCAGTTAAGTGTTAATAAGGCCAGTTAATTATATTAAAAAACCTTGAAGGGTGCTATTAGGCTTGCATTATGACAAATTAATAAAATTGTGTTTATCTCATCAAGGAGATCCAATTCGACAAAATATCAAGAGACAACTTTTAATCGGCATTAAACGGCCTACAGAATTTTGCTAACAAGAGTTAAAAAAGTCAGTGGCGCACATGTTTGTTTTAGAAAAATATTCCAGTGATAACTCATATGCGCGTCTCTAAGTCGACACTTTTTTAGCATTAAATTTTTTACGCGTAAAAAACTATATGTAACACGTAAAAAACTATTTTTAAGCGTAAAAAATATATTTTTTAAATTATAACTTTTTCAACATATCAAACTACACTTTTTCAAACATGTCCTTCAAATCCTTCAATTTATTAGCTGTTAGTCAGAAGTTTCACTTCAAATATGCCCACTAGTGCACACACATTTTTTTTATACGGACCATAATTGAATAATATAATATTTATTTTATATGTATTTTATATGTATTCAAATTTATATATCATATTAATAAATTATATACAACAGTTATTATTTATTTTAATTTATTTGTTACTACCATAATATAATAAATATAAATACATTATAAATTAGATAAGCTTCTAAATTATTCGATATGCAATCCTAGCAATTAATTCTATTCTATGCATTTTAAGAAATCTTCAGTGAGAACTGACACTTTCTTTTCTATATCTGGCAATACATCTTCAGTACATGCTACAACCTGTTCTACCAGTGTTTTCAGATCCTCTTCTGCTTTTTCAACGTCACTTTGAATCTCGTCTGGAACTTTTAAGATAACGTCGAACAAATTTTGGGCAACAGCCTTAAGACAGTCCACTACGAAGAAATCATTTTTACATTTTTCTAATTCAGCAGTTTGGTTTGCCAGTTGGCTGTTGGCTGCTGCAATGTCATCGAGGATCGGAAGAATATCGTTGAGGAAAGCTTCGACTTGGTTATCGGCACAAATTGTAGTAGCGTTGATGGCGGAAACTTCCAAATCAGAAATATCGTTTTCGACATCTTCAATGCACTGTAGAACTTCCTTGGCTACTCCGTCCGTATTGTTTTTTACCAAGTCGATTAATTCATTTAATTCTTTCAATTCTTCTTCGACTAGTTGTTTTGCGTAATCAGTACCATTTTGTTTAATTTTGTCGATATCTTTAATTATGTCATTGATCACTTTTTCGGTTTCTTCTAAAGCTTCTTTTGCGAGATTTGTCACGTTTCCAAGCAACTCTTCGGCAAACTCGATGGCATCATCGAAGACTCCGTTCACAGGAATTTTATTTCCAGACACCTGAGTACATATCTAATATCAGTATTTAGCAGAAAAATGTAAATATACAGGGTTTAGGCAATAGTTTGTCGGGCATCTGTAGTTCCTAGAATAAAAAAAACTTGGGAATTTTGTTTAAGCACAAACCTAAAGTATGTACTAGGATGTATTTCAGGAAAATATTTTAACTTCGATAGGGTGGCTCAAAAAAGTGTGAATAAATCGAGATCATTTTTTTTAATTCAACACCCTGTATAGTATTGCATTTTTAGATTCCTTTCAAATCACTTTACATAATCCTAAAACATGAGTAAATTTATTTCGATAATTTCAAAGATATTAATAAAAAAATAAAAAATAAATATTTTATAGCCTTTCTTAAAAAAAATTAAAAATACTAGAACTGCTCTGAAATCAAAACTATAAAAGGTTTTTACTTTAGATGATCTGTACTTACTTTCCTATAAATATGGTAGTCGTAAATTATACAGGATGTTCTGAATTATACGCCAAACTTATAAAAATATAAAATAATTTTTCTTCGTTTTTTTTTTAAATTGAACACCCTGTGTATTACTTTTTCAATATATGGAGAATTAAAAAATGAACATTTTTTGTATTTAGAGTATTTCAAAATTTTTAACGGTTTTGCAGATATTCGCGGTTTTATATTTTATATTTAGGGCCATTTTCGGCAGTAAATTTTAATCAAAGCCACCTAATGATTTTTCTCTCGTATTTTACCGTTGAAAGAGCCATATGAAATAATACTGCGTGTATCTGCGAAACCATTAAACATTTTGAAATACTTTAAATACAAAAAAATGTTTATTTTTTAGCTCTCCATCGAATAAAAAATAATATACAGGTTGTTCCATTTATAACAAAATTTATTTTATATTTTAGAAAGTTTGGTGTAGAATTTTGAACACCCTCATGTTGATTTAAGATTACGATATTTATAGCAAAGTAAGTATACACCATCTAAAGTAAATACCTAATATAGTTTTGATTTCAGGACAATTCTTGTATTTGTACCTAATAATTATTTTAAGAAAGGGTGAAAAATATATATTTTATTTATTTAATATCTGAAATTATAGAGATATATTTACTCATATCTTAGGATTATGTAAAGTGATCTAAAAGGAAGTCAAAAATGCGATAATATACAGGGTTTTCTATTTTAAAGGGTCGCCCTATAGAAGTTAAAATATTTTCCTGAAATACATCCTCGTACATACTTTAGGTTTGCACTTAAACAAAATTCTTAAGTTTCTTATTCTAGAGGAACTACAGATGCTCGTCGCACTTTTGCCGGACCCTGTTTATTATAGAGCTAAATAGGTACGGCGATCATTAATATCATTTTGCTTAAGTTGTATTTGTTTCCGTTAATATTCTAATAATTTTCTTGTCGTTAAAAATTATTAAGAATGTATTATAACACGCTCTTTTAGATTCTATGACTCCGTATTGAATGATATTACTGATGGTAAAAATTAATTATACATATATTACTTATATCATAAATACTAAGTTAATAGTAATTTTTAAAGTTCAACACCAAATAAACTAATTTTTTGAAATGAATGTTATTTCGCCAAAAATACTTATGTTTGATCATTTAGGGTCCCAATAAATTGAGATGGAAGGAAGTTACATTTATATTTAAAATAATTATATAAAATAAAAACAATATATTAAAATATTTTGTTAGAAAATAGGAAAATATTACCTGTAAGGCCAAAAAAGCCAGAACAACTATAAAAGCGGTTTTTGAAGCCATTTTCTATTGCTGAAATACCTATAAAAATATAAAACCGTTTGTAATTACTGCAATAATCAATGAATGCATGTATGCTTTTATATTAGAAACTTATCTATAGTTCAAAACATTGATAAGATTTAAGTTGTTATAGTTCAATCACTTGATTACAAAGAACAAAACTTATTTTTATAGAAATTAAAAAAAATATGATAACGATATTTATTATAAATAATACGACACTTCATATTATTATACAAATTGGAAAGTTTTTCCTTTGTAAAAACATACTTTATGACTTGGGATGTAATTTTGCGGAACGAAAATATTTTAAATATTAAATTAAAAAACAGGCAATTTGTAAGAGTATGTAGTTCCGTCAAAGATACAAGGAATATAGATATAGATAATATAGATATAATAAATCATGATATTCTACTGCTACGAAATGTAGATTTTCCAACAAAAAATAATGGCAACAATAATTATTGTCAAAAATAAAAATTGAAAAACCTAGTAACATTGGATAAACACGTAATTTTTTCTATTGTAATATAAACAATAAACCCGTTGTCACTAAATATGATTAAACACTAGCAGCAATGTTGTGATTAGCTGCTATATCTAATATTGTAATTACACCAGTTTTAATTATATTATCACCAATATTGTTTATATGTTAGGGATTTTATATTTGTAGTAATTTAAACCACTTTTTAAAAATTAATTATTATATTATAATTTTAAATATCGAATACAAGTACCAGTAAAAAATCGGCAGTTATAGCACAGATAACATAGATGTTTCCTGTGGTTATAGCAAAAAAAATTGAGGAATAACTTTTCTCTGAGGGCATGGCTGTACTATCAGGGAATGACTGTGATTGTGGTTCCTTTTGAGATCTTACTTTTTAATTAAAAGTCCTCTTCAAAAATCCATGGACATCGACATACCTATTATTTTTTAATAAAAAAAGTGTGATGTGTTTGCCAAGGGTCAAATACAACCATTGACGAAGGAAAGAAGTAGAGATGTGACGAATATTCGGCTATATTTTGGTATTCAGTCACTCTTTTTAATATTCGGTATTTGGTCGAATATCGAATACTAAATTATAAAAGAAAAGCGCGCATAAAATTCTAAATTAGAAAAATAATAAGTAAAATTTATTAATGCTGATGAATAAAAGCAAGTTTTTTAGCAATTAATATTATAATATTCTGAAAAATATATAAATAACAAAAGCCAAAGACAAGACGCCCAGTTGGTAGGCGCCCAAAACGTTGGTATGACAGTTGGACATCAACATCACAAAAGGACAATAATTGACAGTATTGACAGAATCTTGTCCTATTACAAGAAGAAGAAGATATATAAATATATAAATTAACTTTTATTTGGTATACAAGATGTGCAATGACTCGAATGTAACACAACATTCATATGTATTTTTTATATTGCTTACACGTCACGCATGTAATAATCATATGTTGTACAATAAGGTGTGTCCAGACAGGACGCGCCGCTCCGCGCCGAGCCGCGCAAAACATCTTGCAACGTTACAGTTGCATTCAGTGTGGATGTGGAAACGTGCACAAAGTTTATAGAAGTATAGTTTATAGTGTGTAGAATATACGTATACTTATAACAAACAAAGGATGTTATCGTGAGGACTGTAATAAAAAAGAAAAACGCAATTATCGGGCAAAACCAACAATGCTCGCGAATTGTGAGCTACTGGTTTACCAGGTTGCAGATGGTGCCTCGTGCCTCGTTTGCTTCTCTTTTTATTTTTTCAGGATCACTAGTTCATCGTTGCTGATTCCTCCCCTATTGATGAAGGCGGAAGGCAGAAACACTAAGTGTCTACGGGTAGTCATATTTTAGTCATGTTTTTATGGCTAATCTTACTGTAGGTTTTGCCCGATAATTTCGTTTTTGTTTTTTACACTTATCATAATTATATTAAATGTAGGGTTACAATTTATTTTGTATTGGGTATATTTATTGCGACCATCATGTACGATATTAATAGGAATAATTGTAGCTATTTGAAATCTATGAACTATATATTTTGATTTAAATAATATGAACAACGAGCTTTAAACAAACAAATATATATATCTATTATTATCAATTTTTGAACTCATTGTAACACCTGAACCTTTATTTACGTATATGAAATTCTTAAAATTTATCCATGTTTATTAAAGCCCGTGAAATTCAAGCTAATTAAAATTGATTAGAGAATAGTTGAATCACATTCTTTTAAATTAATAATAATAATTAGATGTGTTTCTTTTATGAAACTTTTATTATTTGACATCAATAGATTAGACATGAATAATTAAGCACGTGCTGTTTTCAATATTCTGACAAAAAATTGGAAATACAAAATTTATATTGACAACCAATTAAATAAATAATTTGCACTTTTTTAATAGACAGCCTGTTTAGTGAACCGATTAGATAGATGACTATGAGTGTTTAAAGTGGTTAGAATTACATATAAATAATAGATGTACAAAGGTAAAAAGATTAATTAAAAAATGCATTAAATGAGAATTTATTTTCGTAACTTTACATTGAATAAATAAGGTATTTTTGTTTTCTTATCTTTCTTATTACGTACTTAAAAATACTAAAGCATATAATATAAAGGTCAAGATATATTATGCAAAGGGTTGTAAATAATTTTTGAAATTTTATAATAAATATGTTTTTTGTCAAAAGTAGAGTTTCTTTCTTTTTTTTTAGAGTCTAAAGTACAGTTTCTGTAGCGTAAAAATCCGTAATTTCCGATATTTGAATGGGAATTATTGACTGATTGTTTTATTATCTACTATTACATATTTCATTTTGTTATAAAACTATCAAGTACTAGTTTAAATGAAGAATTTAAATAAGGAATTAAAATAGGCTTTTAGATATTTAAGTGCATACTTATATTTTTCAAGTTGTCTTTCACCTGTTATTATTTGTGTAATTGCATTCGAACTTTGAGGTTTTTTTTTTAAACTCGACTAATGATCTCATTTTTCAAGTTATATTAATAAATAGTCCCAAAGCTTAGAATATACAAGATCAACCCTTTTGGCAATCACTTTTAATGGTTTTATATTGTTTTTATTTGAAGGATCTAGGGGAAAAACTAAATAAGCGCCAATTTCTTAATTTTAGGGTTTTACAATATTATAGTAGGTTTAACTGGTCCCTACAAAATGTATAAACTGTGCAGGGCAATAAGTAACTATGATATATGTCTAGTAAAAATATAGAATACACGTAAAGAGTCTATTGAGCTACTACAGTATTGACAGTTTTTCTGCTCATCCTTTTGAAAAAGGATAGCAACTTAGAGACTGGACCCTCCATAAAATTCTTTGTCAATGGGCTATTATTGCCTAGTACCAAAAACCGCACATTTGCCAGGCTATCGCACATGCTACTGTAGTAAACTACAAATTGTTTTTACGAGTGTTTTCAGATCCACTTTTGCTTTTTCAATATGACTTTTTATCTCGTCAAAAACTTTTAGTATAACATAGAACCAATTTCTTGGCAACATTGCTAAGACAACCGATTCCTATGAGTTCATTTTTACATTTTTCAGGGCATTCAAGGGCAGCAGTTTGTTCTACCAGATGACTGTTGGATGATTCAAAGTCGAAGGCTGTAAACAGAGATGCACTTTGGGCAATTATGAAAAAGTCTGGAGTACCCAACAAATTTCTTACAGTGTGTAAAACCCCCCAAAGCAACAAGTCAAGAATATCACCATCATGGATCATTGAGCGATCCCTTCCTAACAAATGGAGGAGTTAGGCAGGGATGTATCTTAGTGCCTTTCCTATTCAACATATTCATGGCAGCAGAGTGGCAACAAAGCAATGAGATTTTTGAATGTCCGGAGTGCGGAAGAGAAATAACATCACGTATCAGGCTTTTCAGTTTCAGAAAAGCTAATGAAAGAAAACGCCTTGCGTAACCATTTCATTAAACAACACGGGAAAACAATTTTTTCGACTGCGAATAAATTATTCTCATTTTACTAAAAAAAAATTCAAGAAATGTTTTAAAACTTCTTTAATTTTAAGGCCCATTAGTATTTTTCAAAGTAGAAACAATACATTTATCAATAAAGTTGTTTGCGTTTAACTTTTTTGCCTTGGGTAACGAGTTACAGAGTTGGTTAAAGTGTTTCAATAATTATGATCTTCAAACATCCTCCACACTTAAATACTTTTGTTTTGTTTTCCTTCACTGCCATGTGACATATGTCTCTAACTAAATCATAAAAATAATATTTTTACTATAATTATCCCAATTTAGGATAAAACTCGACTTAGACGCCATATTAGTTTTGTATTTCTGTGAATTAGGATTTTAAATAACGTTGCAGTTTGTACTAAATTAGGCTGCTAGCTAATGTCGGTATCCAACGTCGTTTCGACCCAAATATTATAGGGTTGGCACGAGGTTGTGCCGACGTTGCGCCCCGACGTTTGGTCGCGTGACACAACGTTGTCCCGACGTCCAAATGCTGCTTGGGTGAGTAAACTTGATGTCGATACAAGTTGTATTGACGTTGATGACGTAAACTTTCAAAGCAGAAATATAGTTTTCGATATCGTCAACATATTGTAGAAATTCCTGTCTACTCCATCGGTATTGTTTATGACCAAGTCGATTAGTTCGTTTAATGATTTCAGTTCAGATCTGATTTTGGCCAGTTTTTTTGCATAGTCGGTGTTTGTATTGTTTTGTTTAAGTTTGTCGATATGTTGAATTATATCGTTAATCTCTTTTTAGGTATCCCTTAAAGTATCTTTGTCAAAGTTTTTCAAATTCCAGGCAACTTCTGTGCAAACTCGATAGCATCGTCAAAAACTCTGTTTACTAAAGATTAGATTGAGATGTTAAATATGTAACTATAAAGAAAAAAATAAATATATTTTTAGAGGTATATAATTACGCGATTTTTGTTACCATTTTTTAAACAGTTTCTATGATTTCATGATGCTGCATAGCCTAGCATTCACTGACTTGAGAATACATATAAGCATAGAATATCTAGCTACGTATAGCTGCGT